CAACAACGAGGAGGAGTGATGGGGGCGCTTGTACTACAGCTCTGGGAGATCGACTGGGACGCGAAGACAGCAGACTTCTGGGAGGACGCAGAAGGAGGAGGTTGGCAGCTGCGGCCTGATGATGGCAACGACGACCCGACGGTGCTGGATGCACTCACCAACGACCTCAAGAAGAAGGCTTGGACGCACGCTGGCCTGCACCACAACGGGGCTGGACTTCAGCACGGAACGGACACCTACGACCTGAAGATGCAGCTGAAGCGCCTAAAGAAGTACGGGAAGCACTAATTATCCGCATCGATCCTGACGGCAGCCTGCGCGGGAACATGGTCACCACAGAGGAGGAGAGACGCCTTCGGCGAGGACACGTACAACCTGTGCGAGTGCGGGGAGGATGCCGACGACTTCCACATCATCTGGGGCGAATGCAGCTGCAGAAGCGACCACAGCATCTACAGGAAAACCGAGAACTTGGTACAGCGTGCAGCACAAGGGCGAGAATAATGGGCAGCATTCTGGTTGAGCGGAATTCGGCCAAGACCATGGATTGCGCCGCCGATGTGCGAGACGGAGTACAAGCCGAAGCGGACAGGCAAGGCGGAGGGCATCACCAACGAGGAGATCGGTGAGAAGCTTCTCGCGACAAGCGGCTGCCTGATCGCATGCGGAGATGGAAGCGGAAGAGCTCACGGAAACAACGCAAAAATCCGCCGACACTGTCGACGTGTGTGCGGGGCTGTGCCGTTCGTCGTCGTCGTCGCCGTCGTTGCAGTGCTCCAGCGGGCTTGAGGGAAATCGACCCAAACCACGTCAAAGGGAAGCCCCTTCCCTTTGTCCCTTCCCCGGCAGGGGGGGGGGGTGGGCGGGTCGCGGGGAGGGGGGTGCCCCCTGAGGGGGGGGGTCCTGGGGTGGGGGTCCGGGGGGGGGGGGGGTCCCAGGGGGGGTCGCCACCCAAATACGCTTTCACTCCCCGCGCGTCCGGCGCGGTCCCCGCGCGGTTCCGGAACCTCGCGCGGCTTCCCGGTTCCCGAAATAGCCCCTGGAGGCCGAAAATGACGAAAGACTGAACATGTAGAACAACTCCCCCTTCCCCTCCCCCTCCTCCTCCCCCTCCTCTTCTTCCTCCTCCTCCTCCTCCGTCCTCCTCCTGCCCACTCTGCGGACTCCGAACCCCAGGCTCGAGGATCGAGGCTTTCGGGCGCCGCCGGAGCCCTCTCTTCGGCCACCCTCCTGCTCCTCCTCCTCCTCCTCCTCCTCCTTCTCCTCCTCCTCCTCCTCCACCGCCTCAACTCCTCAATCTCACGCCCCCCCCCCCCCCACTGTTCCTGACTCCTCCCTCCCCTACCTCCTCTCCTCCTCCACCTCCTCCACCCTCCTCCTCCTCCTCCACTCCTCATCCTCCTCCTCCTCCTCCTCCTCCTCTCCCCCTCCTCCCCTTCTCCTCACCCTTCTGCTCCAAAACCTCAACTCCTCCTCCTCCTCCCTCCTCCTCCCTCCTCCTTCTCCTCCCGCCCTCATCCTCCTCGTCTTTCCCTTCCTCCCTCCTCCTCATCCTCCTCATCATCCTGACATCCTCCTCCTCCTCCTCCTCCTCTCTCCTCCTCCTCCTCCTCCTCCTCCTCCTCCTTCGCGCCTCCTCCTCCTCATCTTCCACGGCCTCCGTCTCCGCCCACTTCGTCGCCGACGTCGTCGTCGTCTTCAGGGTCGGCGGCACCGGCCGTCAGGCCTTCGCAATACAGGAGGTGCGGATGGAGCTGGGTCAACATGGAAATGGTCAACGGAAGCTGGAGGGCGACTGCTGAAGTCTCGGGCCTATTACCAGGCGCACGCCGATCAAACATCAGGGCGGAGATCACGGCATTCTTGGACTGCCTATAGTCGACGGAAGGCGACATGATCTTCTACACGGACTCGGAGATCCTGTGCAAAGGATGGCACGCCAAGAGATACCTCATCTTGGGCTACACGAAGGCGCACGGGGACCTTCGGAAGAAGATCAGGCAGCGGCTCGCCACCAGAGGAGAAGCAACGGTTCGGGTTCGACACTTCGAGAACCACATGACGGAGGAGCAGGCGACGGAAAGAAGGATTCCCGTGGAGGCATGGCACGGCAACCAACGAGCTGATGAACTGGCAAGTGAAGCGGCATCCACCCACGAGATCTCGGGGGCACAGATGAGCTGCTACGACTGGGCGAGGGCGACTGCGCACATGGTCAGAACACAAACAGGACAGGCCTACAAGGAGCAATTCGAAAAGGTGACGCCGGTGACGTGGGAGGAAAAATAAGAAGCTGGAAAGAAACTAAGAAAGGGAGACGACGCGAAGATAACGTTCGACGGGCTGAAGAAAGCATCACCGCACATGCTGATCATCACAGGAAGCACGTTGAAGTACACAGCCTGCAACGAGTCGATCGGGGCCAATCAGAGGTCGAGAACGGCGATGTGGTGGCTGACGAGGTGCCATGCAGATGATGCTGGAGACAGAGCTGAGTTATGGGAACAAGCAAGCAGATGCCTGGTACTCAAGGGGAAGCTCTCGCACTCGTCGCACGCCACATGCTGGTCGAGGCACCAGGCCAAGTACTTCTGCTGGGAGTGCGGCGCCACCGCGGGGAAGCACCTGAGCAGCAAAATGGTGAAGACGTGCGAAGGGTGGCCACACGGGAAAACTTCGCAGTACGCGCTAAAGGCCTTGAGAAAGCAAACGGACTGGACAACCAAGCTCAAAACTGTCAAGAACACGAAGAAGAGCAGAGAAGCCTCGAGTCAGAACGCAGGGGGGCCTTCCGCCCCGTCGCTGGGTGCAAGCTCAGCGGCTAATTCGGAAGGTTGCGTCGCCAATTTTGCCGAGAGGCCAGATGAGATGCGGGCCGAGCACCAGAACTTCAGAAGTTCACTGTGGAGAGCGAGAAACACCAGGTCAAGATCACGAACGCGGAGATGAGCAGCACGAACACCAGGTCAAGATCACGAACACGGAGATGAGCAGCACGAGGCGCGCGAGGAGCGCCGACCAGGTCAGGATCACGAACACGGAGAAGAGACTGGCAGACGACTGGCGAGACTCCGAGAGCATCGGGGTCATGGGGACGCGGGCAGACGACCAGCAGTACACCGTGGACTCCGACAGCGCAACGGCGAGGGCCCCGAGCAGAGCTTCTGAGTGCAGAAGCTACCGCCTGGCCGATCACCCCGACAATCGGCTGACTGATCACAGATTTAGAAAAATTGCGATTCCGGTGATGCTGATGATGATCCAGATTCTGGTGATGATTATGCTGATGATGATTCTGGTGATGATTGCGATCCTGGTGATGATGGTGGTGATGACGACGATGATGATAATGATGCTGCTGATGATGATGAGATGTTGATGCTGACGATGATGAAGACGCTGATGACGATGCTGACGATGATGACGATGACGATGCTCACGATGCTGACCATGCTGATGCTGGTGCTGATGCTGCTGCTGATAACGATGACGATAGCGATGACAACGACGATGACAATGCCGATGGCGATGATGATGCTGCTGCTGATGATGCTGCTGCTGATGATGATGATGATGATGATCATGCTTATGCCGATGATAATGATGATGCTGCTGATGCTGCTGCTGATGATGCTGATGATGTTGCTGTTGATGATGTTGTTGTTGATGATGCTGATGATGATGCTGTCTGATGGCTCGGGTTTCCTGTCAATGTGGGGTCTCCTGGTCTCCCTGGCACCGCTTCCGTGCAAAGCACTCGCGCTATCTCTGCTTCGCTCGCTTCCTCTTCCTGGTTTGGACTCCAACTTTCGCGCCGCGAGTGCATGAAAGGACGAGCGAGAGAAACGAACGACTTACGAGGAGGAGAGTGCGGAGGAGAGTGCTGAAACTGATGATGATGCTGATGATGACGATGTTGCTGATGACAATGATGTGGATTCTGCTGTTTATGCTGAGGATGTCGATTAATATGATGATGCTGCTGTTGTTGTTGATGATGACGTTGCTGTTGCTGCTGCTGATGATGATGATGATGAGGGTGATGATGATGCTGATGGTCATGATGATGCTGCTGATGCTGCTGTTGCTGCTGATGATGATGATGACGCCGATAATGCGGAGGATGGTGATGCTGTTGCTGCCGATGTTGATGATCAAGAAGGCGATGACGAGACGGAAGAGGAGGAGGAGGAGGCGGAGGATGAGAAGGCGGAGGAGTAGGAGGAGGAGGATGAGGAGGAGGAGGAGGAGGAAGAGGAGGAGGAGGAGGGGGAATCTGAGGAGGCGGCGGAGGAGGAGGAAGAGGCGGAGGATGATGAGGAGGAGGAGGATGAGGAGGGGGAGGAGGAGGAACAAGAAGAGGAGGAGGGAGAGGATGATGAGGATGAGGATCATGATGAGGATCATGATGATGATGATGATGATGATGATGATGATGATGATGATGATGATGATGAGGATGATGATGATGAGGAGGAGGAGGAAGAGGAGGAGGATGAGGCGGAGGAGGAGGATGAGGAGGGGAGGGGGAGGGGGAGGAGGAGGAGGAGGAGGAGGAGGAGGAGGAGGAGCGGAGGAGGAGAAGAGGAGGCGGGAAGGAGGAGGGAGGGAGGGAGGGAGGGAGGGAGGGAGGGGAGGCGGAGGAGGAGGAGAGGAGGAGGAGGAGGAGGAGGAGGAAGAGGAGGAGGAGAAGGAGGAGGAGGAGGTGGAGGAGGAGGGGGAGGAGGAGGACAAGGGCGAGGACGAGGAGGAGAGGAGAGGAGGAGGAGGAGGAGGAGGAGAGAGGAGGAGGAGGAGGAGGAGGAGGAGGAGGAGGGGGAGACGGAGGAGGGACGAGGAGGAGGAGGAGGCGGAGGAGGAGGAGGAGGAAGAGGAGGATGAGGATGAGGAGGAGGAGGCGGAGGCGGAGGCGGAGGCGGAGGAGGAGGAGGAGAAACAGCGGAAGGACGATAAGGATGATAGGGAGGATGAGGAGGGGAACCTTAACCCCCCCTGGGCTCCTGCATCGTGGAGGTGGGATTCAGACACGCGGCCAGCTTCCCGAACCACTTCACAATCTGCTGGCAGCGTTCCTGCGCGTGAGGCGCCGCCGCGCGCCATTCCACTCGGGGGTCGTAAACAAGGCTCCATCTTCTCCTGGTGATTCCCCCTTCCGCTCCTGCTCCTGCTTCCTCCTCCTGCCCTGTTCCTGCTCCTCTTCCTGCCCCTCCTAGTCTGGTCTGGTCGTTGCGCCCCAATTGGGGCGCGTTGTGGCCGATGCGCTACCTCCTCCTCCTCCTACTGCTGCTGCTCCTCCTCCTCCTCTTCCTCCTCCTCCTCCTCTTCCTCCTCCTCCTCCGCCTCCTCCTCCTCCTACTCCTCCTCCTCCTCCTCCTCCTCCTCGTCATCGTCATCCTCATAATCAGCATCATCATCAGCAGCATCATCATCATAATCCTGCCCCTCCTCCGCCTCCTCCTCCTCATCCTCCTCTTCCTCCGACTGGCCCTCCTCCGCCTCCTCCTTCCCCATCCTCCTACTCCTCCTCCTCCTCCTAGCCCTCCTCCACCTCCTCCCTTTCCTCCTCCTCCTCCTCCTCCTCCTCCTCCTCCTCGTAGGCGTTGTGGCTCGAGGTGGCCTTCTGGTACAGCCCGGCAGCCGCGACGCCAGACGCCGCGGGTCCGCGGGCGGACAACGGTTCGTGCGACTACGACGGACGGCGGCGCGGAGCGTCGAGGCCGCTCTCGCTCGCCTGCTGTCGCTTTCCATGGGCGAGAGCGGCGAGCGCGAGCCTCAGCGCGCTCGCCGCTGCGGCTGGAGGCGGCGATGCGCCTCGTCGCTGGCCACCGCGGCGAAGCTCGGCCGAGCGCTGCTGTGGGCCCACCTCGTGCCCGCAGCGGGTCGGGCCAGGCACCCACCCAGCCTAAGGGCGACTGCGTCAAATGCGGCTGGGTGCGGGTGCGGCTGGACCTCTTCCGCAGTCGGGCCGAGCGCTACCAGTGCGGCTTGCGGCTCTTAGCAGGCAAGGGCCAATGACCAGGCCGTGGTGGCAGAGGCCCATGCGGCGGCAGCAAGGGCAGCAAGGGCCAGGGAGGCGGCGTCGGCGCGGCAGGCCCCGAGACGAGGGTCGATGCAGCTCGGCCTGGGGCGGGGGGCATCAGCCTGGTCAAGGAGATGCTCCCAGCCAAGCAGTTCGCTAAGGTGCAGGAGGCCATCGCGTGAGGCCGCCACATCCAAGCCGCGCGTGCTCGAGACTGACGTCGCAGCGGCCTCGGCAGCGCTCGCAGGGCCGAGGCCAATCTGCAGCCGAAAGCGGCCGTCCAGCAGGAGGTGCAGCCCTGGCACGAGGCGTGCCGCGGCGATGCGTCGGACGCGGCCGAGGAGGTCGTGCAGGCCAAGCGAAGCTCAGCGAGGCTCACCAGGTGTTGGCAGTCAAGGCCCAGCCCCTCAAGTGGTGCGCCCTGGTCGATGGCGCACTTGGCCAAACTGCGGAGCCGGCCACGGGCACGATCCTCCACCTGTCCGGCGTCCTCGAGAAGCCCGACGGGGTGGCCTTCGTGGACGGCGCTCTCTCTGAGCTGGAGGGGCTGGGCCACTGCGGCGGAGCAGGAACAGTTCGACAAGCTCAAGAAGGACTTCAAGGCAGAGCTGTGAAAAGGCAGTCGGCAGTGTCTTCGGCACGGCAGCCTCAGACCTCACGGAGCGCAGGGACCAGCTCGCAGCCCCGGCCACCGGGCTCAACGCAAAGAAGCGCAAGGTCGCCTTCAGCGACAGCGAGCAATCAGGCCCATGAGGCGCCCCAGCAGCAACGGCAGCGGGTGCGCCGCGTCCAGCAGCAGCGCCGGCAGCCGAGGCGGGAGCAGGAGCCCCCCCTTCAACAGATCCTGCGCGGCAGCCTGCGGGAGGGGTGGCAGCAGCATGCCCAGTCCATCCAGCGGCCAACGGAGCCGCCCTGGCCAAGGCTCCGCGGCCTGAAGGTCAGGGTGCTCCAGATGCCGCTCCTGCTCGCCACACCTTGGCACAGCGGGCTCTCGACGCCGCGGCTACCCAGGTGTCGCCAGAGCGCAAGTCGCCCAGCGAGGCACATCTACTACCAAGAAGATGGACCTCCAAGCCCCGTCGAGTTCTCCGATGGGCTCTTTGGTGATGTAAGTAAGCCCCGTCTGTCACGATAGGCACTTTTGGCAGGATAGCGATGGGCCTGGTCCCACCCACTGACCACTCCACTCGCTAGACGGCAGTGGCGGCTCCTTCTACCTTGGACCACCGCCTGCAGCTCTATGTACGCGACGAACCACATGAAGGTCAACCTCCTCAACATCACATGCCACAGCCTCTGCACACTACCGCTGCAGAACCCAGCAGGACGGCCGAAAGGGAAGCAGACGGCCACCGACGAATGGCTGAAGAGAGGCAGTGCGTCGCTCGCAGGCACGGCCGCTAGATGCGACCATGGGTGGCAAAGCCCTCCTACACCGTCGCCAAGGACGTCGGCATGGCAGCGGGCTTCCAATGCGTTTTGGAGGGTGTGCAGAGCATCCAAATCAGGGACCGCGTCGGTATCCCGTCGACGGACGGCATGGCCGGGGATGTGCATTCCCCTGGAGCCGTCGGCATGGCAGCAAAGGCTTTCACGTCAACAGACGGCGTGGCCAGGGATGTGCATTACCCTGGAGCCGTCGGCATGGCAGCAGAGGCTCCCACGTCTGGCCACGCGGGAGACTGGCATACGCCATGGGTAGGACCAGCCGTGCTGCCTGCTGGATTCCACGGCTGGATGACGTGGAGGCAGGCCAGCGCACATGTCAGCCTGTGGTGCGTACCATACACGATGGAGCTCGTGTAGCAGCCACAGCGTCGCCGCTGGGTATTCACAGGCAGTGACGGCAGTCCGCTTAGGCCTCGCTGAGGAGCTGTGCGAGGAGGCGTGGAGGGTCAGCAGTCCCCGCATATAGTGGCGATGGTAGAGCACCTCCAGGTGCGTGCCCAGCTGGACACCCAGGCTGGGCTGGACCGCGTCTGGCGAGGCGTTGGGACTCTCTCGCGCGCGTGAAGCAAGCATTCGAGTACCTACTGGGTGCCAAAGCGCCTCCCAACGATACGGATAGTGGCGAGCAGCTGCGCAAGCTCGCTACCTTGTCGACAGGCGGCGTGGCTAGGGACGTCCATTCCCCTGGAGCCGTCGGCGAAGCAAACACAGGGCAGGCCGAGTGCGACGTTCCCTACACCAGGGGTATGGGAGGCCCCCGGCCGAAGTATCGGTGCTATCCCAGTGCATGGGCGATCGAGGGACGACGCGTGCACAGAGGCAGCTGCTGCGTGGGTTGCTATCTCTTCTATGTCTATGCTTTCTTCCACCCATGGCCTGGCATGTGCATTCCCTAGGGTGGTGGTGGAACCCCCTGGTGCCTACGGGCACCAAGGCGAGCGCGAGCTTGGCGACAGGCGGCGTGGCAAGGGACGTTCGCTCCCCTGGATCCGTCGGAGATGCAGCCGCAGAGGGGTCGCGCGCTAATCTTGGGATCGGCAGGCCGATCGATGCCTACCCACACACACATGGCCTGGGATGTGCATTCCTCAGGAGGTTGGGGCCCCGTGGCCCCCGCGGAGCCAAGGCAAGCACAAGCGGCGACAGCGGTGATGGGGAACACCGCACCGTGGACATCCGGACGCAGGAGGGCTGCTCCCGTATCGCCGGGGTGGCAACGCGGTTTGCGGGCAGGCAGGAGGCGGTGCTGAACGAGCAGAAGGTGCGGGACCGCATGGGCGTGGAGGCGTTGGAGGTGATCGACCTCGGCGATTTCCCGCCAGAGTTCGACGACCTCTGCGACGACCAGGCGTATGTCGTGGACGAGCCCAGCGTGACGGACGTCGCTGCCGGGCGGTCCTGCCCGCAGCAACCCGACCGCGAGGACGGCGACAGCAAGGGGGAGGTCGGCCAGGCGACCCCTGCTGGACGGCTCGTGGCTGGCGACCTGCAACAGTCGCCGCCCAGGGCAACGTGGGCGGTGCGGCGCCGCCTCGCGGCAGCGGCGGGAGCAAGCCAGCTTCCACATGGCTTCGGCGGCGCAGCGTCTGTAGTGAGCCTGCCCCGGTGGCGCGTGCACGGCCACCATGTTTTGGCCGCGTCCATCCTCCCAATGGAGGGGGCGCGGCGAACTGACGAGCCAGCGGCAGGCTCACTTCTGTCTTGCCTGTGCGGCGCAGGCTTCGCATCAGGAGGAATGGGCGTGGCCTTGCAGGGCTTGCCCCGACGGGGCACTTGCCTCCGCCCCCCACGAATCGCAGTGCTCTTCTTTCGGTGAAGGGCCACCCCAAGCAAGGGCATGGCGCGCTCGGTGACCTCGCCCTTCTCGGAAGAGCCGAAAAGGTCTTGGGCGGGGCAACTCGAGGCCTCAATTCAAGCCAACACGTCATGGGAGGGCCCCGCGGCCCTTTGGCATCGGGCCTCGGGGGGCCTTCCCCCTCGGAAGCGCTCGCCTCCTTCGGGCCCACTCTGGCCCAAACCCGGGTGGTGGGAGGCTACAGCTCGGCGAGAGCTGGGGCCATTGTGCCCGCTCTCTGGAGTTTCAATCTGCACGACACCCCTGTGGCTGGGTCCCGCCTCCTCCTCCTCCTCCTCCTCCTCCTCCTCCTCCTCCTTCTCTTCCTCCCCCTTGTCTTCGTCCTTGTCCTGATCCTCGCCCTCGCCCTTGTCCTCGTCCTCGTCCTCGTCCTCATCGTCGTCGTCGTCCTCCTCCTCCTCCTCCTCCTCCTCCTTTTCCTGATTCCTGATTCCTGGTGGCTGGAAGATCCTCCGGATGTAGCCTCCCCCACTGGCCGGTCGGCCCTGGGGGGTTTTCCAAACTAGAAGGCCAGGTGACCCCTGGAGCGCCGCTCCAAGAGTCACCGGCGAGTGGTACCTGTTAAAAAAATGCGGCAAACAAGAGTCGATTGGAGGAGGAATGAAAGACACCAATAAACCGAGGAGGGGAGGTGGGGACGTGGCTGCGCTGCAGGCAGCGGCGATGGCAGTGGGTGGCAGTGGCGGTGTGGAGGCGGCGTGAGGCAGCGGGTGGCGGTGGCGGCCCGCGGCCACACTCGTCAACGTGGA